AAGGTTTTGTGAAAATTTGAGTTGAACAATAATGTTTAAGCTATCCTTAACATAGATGAGGAGTTAAGGAATCATTATGTGATGTTATGCCAGAGCCATGACACAGGAGAAGTAAAGCACAATTACTAAGATAAGGGAATCTGTTTTCTAAGATTGGTGATATATAGGCCTAGATCTCCCCAGACCCCTTTAGGAAAAATTTTTTAGAAAATAAAAACATGACCGAAGGTCAGTCCTTATAGCCAACACCAATGACTCTGGTTACTAAATGTATACTTCTTTAGAGAGAGAGATTTTTGCTGTAGTACACATACTTTCATCAGAGAGACAGAGAGAAAGTCGGACATAACCCCCCATAGGTGATGGCCATACCTTAATCTCTTCTCCATTCTCCTCTCAATAGGTGGTGGCCATATCTTAATCTCTTCTCCATTCTCCTCTCAGCTTTTAGGCATGCATGTATACACACCCAGTATGAGTTTTAAACCACAGGGTCCAGGACTTGAATCGTGGTCAACTACATGAGAGCCTAGTGTAACCGTTATGCCATATACTGGTCCCATTAAATGAATTTTAATGTGGAATCAGATTCCTTCCAAGCAATATCAAGTCACAAATAGGGATCAGCAGTTGGCGTAATGGCTATGCCACTGGACTCCCATGTAGTCGACCACAGTTTGAGTGCTGAACCTGGTAACTTAAACTCATGCCAGGTGTGTGTACATGCATGTCCAAAATCCCGAGCAGAGAATGGAGGAGAAGGGATTGTGGCATGGCCATCCCCCCCCCGGTGGGAAATTTCTCACTTTCTGTCTCTCTGCCTCTCTGTCTTTCTGGAGAGCATACACACCCTATAGCAAAAATCTCTCAAGAAAATAAAAAGTCACAAATAATTGAAAAGTTTCCAATTAAATTTGTCTGAATAAACTAAATAATAACTTTCAAAAAAGAATGGAGGGGCATTTCCAGAGTATGTCATGCTCTATGTGTGCACATACCCACATATATACATGTATGTGTATATTACACTCAATGACATTATTTTAAGCAGTGAGTGGAAAAATAGAATAATTCATATTTAAGTGATATCTTAAAATTGAATTAAATATGTAACTAAATGGAATTTTTATTTTCAAAATCAACAGAAAGTGTTCTTTGATAATAATAAGCATTTATAGATGAAATATTAAATTTGTTTTAAGTTTCGGTTCACTAAATCTTACTGATTCATTATAGCTAGGTTAAGAATATAATAAAATATTAAAGGGAACTAGTCAATATTACTACACCGACTTTGCTAGTCCAGACCTTACTCAATGAAAATAAAGTATAGAGATGATTTAATAATTATTTTCAATTTGCAGCTTCTGCTCCATATATTAGACAATTGTGAGGCAGAAGAGAGACTCTGGTTCTTGTCTTTCACTCAGGAAGAATTAGAGACACAGACAGCCTCAGAGAGGAGATAGTAAAATGAACTTTATTGAGAGAGAGAAGGAAGAACAGAGCTCCTTAAACAGGAAGTGAATCTGAAGGGGTTGCCAGAGTAATGATAGTGAAGGGTTTTTATCTTGGTCTGAAGGGGCTTTGTCTGAGCTTGTTCTCAGGTGCTTATGCATGGATTCTTCTCATGCATTCCCCCCACAGTAGGGTCACATGCTGGATGGGTCTGGTTATTCTTTTCCAAATTTGGAGTGGATACTGAGGTCATAAGATGCTGTTTGTCTAAAATTTTATGCTATAAAAACCATTACCTTTTCTTCTCAAAATGTGCTGGATCCAGACCAAAAGACTTAATTCTCTGTTTTGCTTTAGGTCATGCCAACCAAGTTAATCATTGAGTCATTGGTCCTAGCAGTTTCTTGTGAGCAAGCAGTTCAGTGAGAGCTGAACTGCCACTGAGCTATTATGTCTCCATCTTAAGGTGTGACTGTTTTGTGATTGATTTGGGCCCTATACTCTAATTATATTTCTATATTCTTTTTTGTAATTTTTTACAAAGAAGATTTTTTTTTCTTATTTGTTGTTATTATTTTGTAATTTGACCAGAGAGAGAGATAGTGAGGGAGAGAAAGGGGAAGTGAGAACCAGGAACTTGAACCACGGCCAGTCAAGTGAGATTCTAGCTCCTTAACTACCACATCAACTATTGGCCTCTACCCTAATTATATTCCTAGGGCTTCTGTCTCCTATCTCACTTGCAAACCCAGTCTAAAAATGTTACCCACTGTGCAACAACTTTTTTTTTCATATAAAAGAACATTGAATGTTATAAAAAATATTTTCTTTCTTTTCCATATATGGATTAGACTTGTATGAGAATTTCAAACACCTCACAGAGCAAAGAGACTTTGAAATCATAAACCTCAAATAACTGTAGACTGTATTAATTTTAACAATTAAAATTGCACTTAGGCTATGTTATTTTTCTACCACAGGTAACTCATATGACTTATTCAACTATACCTGCATGTATGTGTATATAATTTGTAGCTCTGACTGTTTTGTTTAATAAATTTTGTCTAAAAATATAAAATCTGATTTCAGTGAAGCCCAGGTTCCATATTCCCTTCAGAAGCAACCCCAAGTATACTGTTCTCATGCAAATTCTATCTCAAGTGCAGATATATACCTAAATACCCAGTTTTAATGTGAAATCTTATGAAAAATCTTATTTGGAGATCAGAGTAACATTCATTAGTTGGGCTATTATGGAAAATAGTATGCAGTCTTATGACAAAATTAGAAGAAAAAAAAACTGTCATATGATACTGGCATCTCACTATTTTGTATATGTCAAAAGAAAAGAAAATAAGAATGCCATACAGATATCTACATTCTAGTGCTATTGAAGCTCTATTTACTACTCACTGTAAGATGTGAACTCAACATTAAGTGTCCAGGGAACCAGCAGTTAGCATAATGGCTATGTTGCTGGACTCCTATGTAGTCGACCGCGGTTCACGTCCCGGACCCGGTGGCTTAGAACTCACGCCGGGCGCGTGTGCGTGTGTGCCCAAGATCCCGAGAGGAGAATGGAGGTGAAGGGATTGCGGCGTGACCATCCCCCCTGGGGGGTGATTTCTCACTTTCTGTCTCTATGTCTCTCTCTGTCTGTCTGGTGAGCACACGCGCCCTATTGCGAAAACCTCTCCAAAAAAAACCAAAAATCATTAAGTGTCCACGCAACAGATACAAGGATAAGTACTATCACCCATTAAAATAAATACAATTCTATTGTATGAGGCAATATTAAATGACACTAAGTGAAGAATACTAATGGCTAAACATATTCCTGGATTTTGGCTTTATTCTCCCAAACACAAAGGTTCTTCCACTACTGAGCAAAATGTGATATAAGCCTCAGTCAACACAGCTGTACTAATATCAATGGCATCATCTTCAATCCTTATCAAATGAACTACTCTATTCTTGAATTTAGTGCCAAATTGAAAAGTCACATTTAAGAACATACAAACTGCAAAATATTTTTATTTTTGCTCTAATTATTCTTTCTTTCTTTCTTTTACATTTTTTAATACATTCAATCACATTAGCCTACAAGGTGATCATTTCAATGTAAGAACATTTCTCCCCGGTCGAGTTGATAAAAATATAACAACACTACCTCCCTGTCTCAACAATGCTGTCTTTGTATCTCTCCTCCAAATGTTCTTCTCCAGGCCCCACTCCTCCACACACACCACATCTGGCATTCACATCCACCTCTTGTGTTTGTACATCCATTAGCCTGTCAGTTTCAGTTATAGAATGTGGATATTCGGTATATATTAAGTGGGGACATACGGAGTCTCTCCTTCATAGCCTGGCTTGCTTCACTCAGCAGTAAATCTTCCATATTTTTCCACTTTCTGTCAAAAGTCAGGGTTTTGTTGTTCTTAATGGCTGAATAGTATTCCATAAGTATACGTGCCACAGTTTTTCAATCCATTCAGCCATACGAGGGCATTTGGGTTGGTTCCATGTCTTAGCAATCATGAAAAGTGCCACAATAAACATTGATGTGCAAGCACTTTTCCAATGAGAAATTCTTCTGTCCTTTGGGTAGATGCCAAGAAATGGGATTGCTGGATCATATGGCAGTTCTATTTGTAGATTTTTGAGGAATCTCCAAATTGTTCTCCACAGTGGTTGGACTAATTTACATTCCCACCAGCAGTGTAAGAGAGTTCCCCTTTCACCACA